CTGATATAAAAAAATGGCAAAAATCGACCGATATTTCGACATTGGCAATATAGCGTTTGACCAATAGTTCTAAGATGTGGAAAACACAGGGTCACAAGCTGAACAAAGTGAGCGCATTGCTTTGAAACATGCAGCACAAACAGACTTGGTTAAGTTGTAGGGTTTTACAATTTGATAAGGGGATTAAGCCATTTTTTGCTTCCAATTTTATATAGTTTGACATACTTCACCAAAAAAATGCTACAAAACACAGCGTTAAAGACCTTTTATGTAATAAAGATTAGTTTAAATATATTTTTGGATCAATATGAAACTGGCAGGACAGATTAGACTGATGGGCCGCCACAATCTAGTTAATGAATGGTAAAAACTGCATTACATTAAAATTATCAGTTTATCTGTATGTGTATTTGCACAGGGAGATGGGTTTGTTTAACTTGCCTTTTTAATGTACAGTAAGTGTCACTTTTTAATTACAGGAAACTTGGCCTTTTTTGTGTAGCGTGCAAAAGTCTTAGGGCAATGAACAAACTCAGCGAATACTAATATGGTTAAGTGACACCTTCTCTGAGCAAGTGTATACTCTGTTTTGTGTGGCACTGTAATACATAACATTACCCTAATGGTCTCTCCATAGCTCTTCAACACTAGCTTTTACCCTTAATCTGAAGAATTAGGTGTGATTTCAAGCAGTTTTAGAACACATGGCATCGTTTGGACACGCAATTTTGAGTGTATGTGCCCTGCGTGGTTTCCTGTATGCTGGAGTCAAGTGATCAAGTAGCCCATGTGAATTGTGAATTTTGCAATGAAATATTCTAGTAATAATTTGTTTTTGGTATCTTTTTTTATCAGTTCTAGATTAGAAAAATACTGATAAGGACACCAAGCTGTTGTCTAAAACATGGGAATATCATTTCTCATTTATTAGTAGTACTGGTGAGTCATTGTGGATTGATTTCGCAATAGACTTTGTGATCATGGTTGCCAGGCATAGTCTATGCAAACATTATGTCCAGGATATAAACAAAACATTATGTTCACTTCAAATACATAATCTATATACAGGACCTGATCCAGTAGAAACAATCACAGATTGTACAGTTTGACATGCTTGAACATGGTGCAGTAATTGAGCAGGGTTTTTCTTTTTCTTTTTTCTTTTTGAGTGCAGCAATGTCATATGATCATTAGACATACATGTGATATATTAAAAGGTCATTTACTGCACACTCTGTGCCAAGGTTCATCATACATTTCTCTTGGTACTTGAAGTAAATGAGCTATTAATGGACATACAGAGCCGTTTTACCTTCAGTTCAAGAGTAATGGTCAGTAAAGGAATGGCTAATCTTTTGCAGTGTGTTTAGGCTAAGCTGGAGCTCAGCAGTAAAACACTTTTAGATCATATTGCTTTTGGCTTTGCATTTTTGGTGCTAATTTCGAGTGTTTTAATTTCTCCTTGTGTCAGTATCAGAAAGACACATCCAGTCCAATGAGTATTAGATGGCAGCAGCTGAGGTCTCATGTCATCAGTCTCGGCCCATATGGCCTCACGTGTCAGCGTTCATTAAGGTGAAGAGTTGTAATGAAAGATAGGGAGGAATCAAGCATTGAGTGTCTTAGGCTTACGGTCAGAATCAGATACTCTCTTTACAGGATTAGCTTTTTAGCACATCCCCCCACCCTAATGATCCCTCACAAAACACACACGCACACATTTGTGTGTGTGTGTGTGTTTATATGAGTTTATTACTGCTTGATTGCCTTGGTAAAGCATTTAGACATGTTCATACAGAACACATTGTGTTCTAATTAGGTGTGATGCAACAAGTGTCCAGTGACAAGCAATTTGTCTGACCACACTGTGCACAAAACGGCTGCATGATGTAACATAGTCACATCAAGAAGATGTGTTTAATGCTAGGGATGTGCAAAACGGACTATTTAGTGGCTTGCCTGAAGGTCTATTTGTGTAATCTGGCTTAAGGGAATTCTGTGTAATTTTGCCATCTTCCCATACTTGCTATGAGAAGCCGTTATCCACCTTTTCCTGATGAGCCTATTGTGTTTTGAATTATGGGAGTCCGGAGGCACTAAAGACTGAAACAAATCATTGCAAATAAAAAGGTTGCGCTGCAATTAAAGCAACTTTATCAGCCAGTTTGACTGAATGAGGTGTACAATTTCCGTTTTATTTTCAGACATCAGAAGAATAACGTAACGCTTGGTATTTTAATTATTAACTGTAATTTACTAAGAATACCTTATTTTTCTCTCCAAATCCTCACGTCTCATTACAGGTTTGTTTTCACACGGATGCTTTAAAAATGTAATTTTCCCTTTTCTCTTCTAATTCCTATTAGCAGTGTTTACTGGAAAGTTTCTATAGCAGGTAAATATAATATTTGTAATGTCAAAATGATTTATTTGTAATAATGAATTATTATTCAAGTCAATTCTACAGTGAATAAACATTGTTGATCAAGACATTTTACATAATATAGATAAATATTACTAATACGTATTTGTTAATGCTTTTACACAAGTTTCCTTTTAATGTTCAATGGTTGAAGGGTATGTAGAAGAATGTCACTTCATTGTACCCAGTTTTATAAAAAAAAAAAAGCGTATTATTGCGTTCATAGATCGAACCTTTTGTTTGTTTACAGTTTAAGTTACTCCCATAATTTGCGCAAAGCGTCATGGGGTGTATGAAAAAATTGGAAAAACCATCTGTAGTCAACAAAAGAAAAGCTTTAAGGGTTCCTGCCAAATAAAAGTTTGATAGTTTAATGTTTTAAAATGAATAAATTAAGATTAATTATGTTATATATTTTATTTAGTAAGGCAAGGCAAGGCAAGTTTATTTATATAGCACATTTCATACACAATGGCAATTCAAAGTGCTTTACATAGAAGAAATTAAAATAATCAAAAGAAATCGGAATAATTAAAACAGTTTAGAATAAAAAATAAGAAATAATGAAAAATAAAAATTATGATAAAAATAAAATACAGTAAATTAAAACCATTTAGAATAAAATGAAGTGCAGTAACAGTCGGACGAACAGTGGCACAGTGCTCATTCAGTAAATGCACAGCTAAACAGATGTGTTTTGAGTCTGGATTTGAATGTGACTACTGTAGGAGCACACCTGATCTCTTCTGGAATTTGGTTCCAGCTGCGGCTGGCATAATGGCTAAAAGCAGACTCTCCATGCTTAGAGTGAACCCTTGGTATTTCTAGCTGATGTGATCCTAAAGATCTGAGTGATCTGTTGGGTTTATATTCAGTGAGCATATCTGCAATATACTGCAATATAGTAGTAATAATAATCATTTTATAATCATGATATATAATCACAACATTTTTGGCCAAATTGTGCATCCCTACGAATTAGTGTTTTAAAAAATATTTATATTTCAATATGTATCGATACTGAAATATCTGAAATGGTTTCAAAACCCCTTTTCAGCCTTATTGATACACTGACACCAGCTGCGTGTTCTCACACTCTTTTTTTCTCCGACGGTGAATTAAAACGCCCCTGCCTCCTGTCACTTACTTTCGCGTTCACACCAAAATCACTTGCACCACTGATCTATACAAGTGGCGCTCTTATAAAGCCTCCTCTCATACAGCCAGTGAGTACCAATTTTACTTATTTTCCGTGGCTTATTACGCTTAAACAGTCAAATACTCACAACATGATGTCAGTTTTGGAACGTAAATAGTTGAGAGAGAAAATTCATGTTGTGTTAAAGTAAATTGGATCTGTGCACAAACTCTTAAAGTCACAGCAGCCTAATATTCCTGCTGCTATCTTACTTTAATCAAAGAACAAAATGCAAAAAGAAAATCAATCCATGTAACTAATTGTAAGCATTACATCTGTATTTCTTTTTTTACTATAAAGAATCTATCTAGTGTAATATTTACATTTAATTAGTATATTTAATTTCTGTAGTGTTTCTTACCTTGAATACTAGCCTACAGTTACACAAACATGAAAAACTTAAAGCATTGTTTATTTAATTTGTCTCTTTATTCTAATCTCTTTATTTGTTTGCAATTTGTTTATTTGTTCTTGTTGTACTTACTGACTGTTTACTTGTCTTTTTTACTTGTTGTTACTTGTTTACTTGTCTTTCTTTTTTACTTGTCTGGGGGGGGGGTAAATTTAGTTGTAAAGCCTCCCTGTGCTGTGTGTAAGCTGTTGTAACAAAATGACCAAAATTATCAAAAACTAAATGAATTCTACTCAACTTTGTTTTTTACTTACTATTCTGCATCACACCTGATTAGGACCTGGTGTCAGATGTTTCGTCTTTAAATTTGCTGGGAACATCATTGAATATTTACAGTTCTTACTGATGATTGTGCTCTCTAAGATGAATAGCATTTTGAAACCAAATTGATCAAGTCTATTTGACATCTTTGTATTAGTTTTGTCTGTTTATACAAACTGTTAGTGTAATGCTAGTAGTAACACCCTTTTCCTCAGCAGTTGAATCATTTATAAGATGGAGGGTAATCTCTGGCCTGACCCATTCAGTCTAATTCAAAGACACACATTAGGGCCAAAGATCACATGTAACATTAGTAAATTAGCTTGTTGCTTAATCCCACAGGAGATTTTTGGATAATGGAGCACAGACAGCAGGTTTTGGGGCTGAAGAAAAAAATGGAGGAAAAACTTAAAGTGAATAGACGGCGAGAAGTATGTAAGGGTAAAATGGGGGTGGAAAGAAAAATGAAAGGGCTGTTGTCTGAGAATATGATGCAAATATAACATGTTATGGCTAATCCAACTCACTTGCCTGTTAGTACAATGTCTGGTACTAAAGCAACTAACACCAGAATGTTTTGTGTTGTGACCTTTACTTTGATTAAAACAAATGCCGTCTTTCATTGCTGGCTTCATTAGCATGAGTCAAATGTAGTTCTTTGTACGTCTCAGCCCGTGATTTCAGTTTTGCCCTTGACATGTGTTCAGTCAGGCCAAGGCAGCGGGCCAGGAAGGAAGCTGAAAGATTCGAGTGTTGCTTTCGGTGGCGGTGGCTCTTCTTCTCTGATTCAGGAGGTCAGTAATCACCCCCACCCCTCATTCCTCATCTCTTCATTCAAATTGCACGCACACCCCCTTTTACTGGCCTCAGCCCTCTCTGTTACAAACCCTCCAACCAAATAGTGGTGACAATCTGGAGAACTTGCGTCTGTTTCAATGATAGTGTTAAAGACAAAGACCATTTTTCTGTCTGATGAAACGATAGTGTGGAATCTTTGTACAAACTCTCCCAAGTCATTTAAAGGGACAGTTCACTCGAATAAAAATTATTATATATATTTTTTTATGGTTTTTCACCCCATTGAATTTCATTGTTTGGACCAAAAAAAGCAGACATTTTTCAAGATATCTTTTTTTTTAGGTTTCACAGAATAAATAAAGTCATATAGATAAGGAACGCTTTTGGTGAGTAAGGGTGAGTAAATTATTAATGAATGTTCATATTTGGGTGAACTTTCCCTTTAAAGGGGTCATATAATGCTATTTCATACAAGTTAATTTGATTCTTTAGGGTCTAAATGAAAAGTTTGTAATATACTTTTATTTAAAAATTATCGATAGTATTATAAGAAAACACTCATTTTACCTGGTCAAAAACAACTGTTTTCTGAATGATAATGAGCTTGGCTCATCCCGCCCTTCTGTTCTGCGAGCGTTTTGACACAACGCACATGGAGTGTTGCCTTGACAACAGTTGAGGGTATATTTTGGAGAAAGAATGGCAGCATCAGTTTCTGAGGACACATCTGTGCAACCGAATCAATTTGAACCGGAGTCGGACCCGGAACAAGATGACGGCCGCAAAGAGGTTCGCCAATTAAGGCTCGAACAGGACGTTTCTGAATGGTTGGTTGAAGTAAAGTCACTTTGATCTATTTTTGTGGACTGGCAGGGTAGAGTAACTTAGTTAGCTGGACGAACGCTATGTTAACTGATTTATACGTACTTAGTTTGTAATAACACAATAACCATTATAATCGTGGGATTATGAATTATATTGAGAATGTTGTACTTTGAAAACGTGTCGTAATGTACCCTGAGTGTAAACCTTAGCAGCATTCATCGTGAAGCGTGCAAGCGATTTGCAAAGATGAATATAAAGTAGGGGTGTAACGGTACACAAAAATCACGGTTCGGTACGTACCTCGGTTTTAAAGTCACGGTTCGGTACGTTTTCGATACAGCAAAAAGAAAGAAATGCCAGAGAAATTTCCTATTTGTTTAAAGAAAAAAATATTTTTAAATAAGTGTGAGTTTTCCTAGATCTTGAAACTTTCAGGTTTATAAATGGGGGTCATCTTTGAAGGATGAACAAATAATGTTTTGGTCATCACACACAAAAAAGGTACAAAAGTTGTCACTGGGGCTGTACCTTTTCAAAAGGTAAACTTTTGTCCATTTCATGAGCTAATAAGTACATTTAGGTGTTAATATGTACATTTTGGGTGTTAATATGTACATTTTAAGTGTCAATATGTACATTTAAGTGTTAATATGTACATTTTAGGTGCTAATATGTCCATTTCAGGAGGTAATATGTCAATTTCATGAGCTAATATGTCCATTTTAGGTGGTAATATGTACATTTGAGGTACTAATATGTACATTTTAGGTGCTAATATGTACCACTAAGGTACCAATATGCAGCCTTTGGGTACAAAAGTGTACCTTTTGAAAAGGTACAGCCCCAGTGACAGCTTTTGTACCTTTTTTTCTGAGAGTGCATTAAAAATAACATTTAAATATATATTTATTTATATAATATTTGAATTTTGAAGTGCTGGAAAAAGATGTGTGAAGTACTTGAAAGCATTTCACCATTCCAGCCAAACTGGTTCCAGTTAGTGTTACTATATTAAATCCATGGTGAATGTTGCTGGTCTGTGGACGAAAGTATTACTAGTTCATTCACGGCACAATGTTTCTCCTGGTTTCCATGACAGCGCTGTTTGATCTAATAGAGATCTACGGTAAATAACGGAGAAATGTGAATGCTTCTCACTGACTAGATCTCGCAGCGATGTTATTACCTCAGTGGCGAATTCAAATGTTTTCTTTACCGGATCTCTTAGCGCGGTGTGTGTTAACAGTGTTGCTTGATCGAGATCGGCTCGCGCTGCACAGATGTTGCTGGTCCGAACTGATAAACGATCCGTGAAGCACATAACGAGTAGCTGCTAGCGCAGTTTCGTTCTGCTTTCATTACGCTTGCCATTTGATGTTGCGCAACGTTGTGTTGGCCGCGTCAGCACGAATTTTGCCGGCAGGAAAAATTATCCAAGCAACCGTTCGGTTTGTATGCGTACCGAACCGGAAGCCTCGAACCGAAACGGTTCAATACGAATACATGTACCGTTACACCCCTAATATAAAGGTTAATACAATTTTTACTCACTTCTTCTGGAGGTGCAGCGGGGACACGAATAGTTGGTACCGATTCTTTTTTTCAGGAGCAGCTTCTTAGCAAAACCAGCTTTATACTGATCCTCGTTTATAAAGCCGTCTGGTGAGAAATGATTTGTGCAAACATGAAAGCATTGACATTGCTCGTGGGGAATATGCCCTTCGAAAAAAAATGTACCCACTTCAGCGGTTTGGATTTAGGAACATCAAAATGACTGATGTGTTCATTATTACACCCAAAAACAGAACACCACAATCGCTTAGACGCCGTTCTGCTCCAGTGTATCAACAATGACGGCTCACTCAGGGCGCGGATGTGTTGAAACGCTTCTGTCAATCAACAATCGTGGGAGGGCCGTCTGATTTAGTGATGTCACAAAATCGAACGGCTCAATTTTCTCCTTATATGTATATAAAACATATAAGGAGATTAAAACAAAAACACTGGACAGATTGTTATTATTATATCATGGTTGTGTACAGGCAATGCCAACACACATTTCAGTACAATCAACTTGAAAAAGTGCATGTACCATTATATGACCCCTTTAAATGTTTTAAGAGGTAGATGTAGATGTAAACTTTTTACTTAAACCCTATGAAACCACTCAATGTAACCTGATTCATTTATTTGATGGAAGAATTAATTCAGCAGCAAAGCATCAACAAGCCACTTGTGAGACAAAGTAATGTCTGTCCTAACTACAAAGTGTGATACTATCAAGGTCCAATTTAATCTAGTGCTGAATTCATGAATAAGTGCTACTCAACTGACCAGCCAGTGCCCTACATAGTTTACAACCCACATGCAGCATAGAAGGCCTGCTTTGTTTTTAATGGCCAGCAATGAATTCAAGGGTCAATTAGAGCCTGAATTCCACAGGCATGTGATACAACATTCCACCTTCATGAAAGAAACCTCAATTACAGCAGACGCTTTAATGCAGAAGACAGCTCTGTTTTAAAGCCGTTGATCATTTCACTCATTTAACAAGAGCCATTTCAGTACTATTGCCATGGATGTCATTGACTTCCAACTGACTTCCACACCTCCGTGCTAAAAGATTTGCAGGCCAGTAAAAGAAACCTCTGCTTGCTGGTGCCATGGCAGTGAAAAAACAGAGAACAATTAATAGTTGAAACAGCATCAGATGCCTCTGGATCCTAGGGATTGTTTGTTTTACAGAATTTGCCCTGCACCCAATTCCTTTCCTGTTGCTGTAAAGATGATTTATCAGGCCTGAAGGGAACTATGAAATATTTGAAATGAAAACAAGCTTGTGTTGCGTTTTGCTCATAAGGTTTGTGTGTTTTTGTTTTTTTTTTCCATCTGGTTCTGTTGTTAAAATGCGTTTACATTTTAAAATAAAAAGTAACAGTAAACACTAACATGTTTGTCACACATTTATTATGTTTTGATGAGGTTTAAGAAGTCCAGTAAATTACATTTTTAATTTTTAGTAGTTTTTGAGATGTACTTGTTATTAGAGGTGTAACGATACCCTCATGTCACGATTCGATTAGATTAAAATACTGATTGGAGCATTCATAGAAATAATGCTAAAAAGAAGGCTTCAAATAGACTCCATGGTTGTTATCAGTGACCGGTATTAGTCAATACTGCTTCCTGTGATCGGTGATTGTTTACAGTATGTAGGATTTATAAAAAAAAGAATATGAAGGTATTTTTTTCTTAAAATTTCTTTAGTGTTTCTTAGCTTACACTTTTTTTTCTCCCTCTATTTGTTACACAGGTGAGAATTGTTTTCTTAAAATAGCCAGTCCAGCTAGTATCTAATTGATATACACATGAGCACAATTGGATTTATAGAGCTTAAAGTCATATCCGTGTAATACTCTAGATCATTTCTGGTCCCTTCCTCCCTCAAAGTGGTACGGGGAAGCAATCAGTCAATTCTGATTGAAGTCCTCACTAAATCAATAGAACCCAGATATATCTCATAATGCCATAGATCCACAGCTGACCTAGACAGCTGTACATCCTCACTTTGGTTTGTCCGGCCTATCTCTTACCTAATAGCGCATTCAATTGGGCAACAGAGCAAGTGTCAAAGCTGTAAAAAAAAAGCAGTAAAAGCTGTGCTGATGATTTTTTGTATACTAATAAAAGTGCAGCCATGCATAATTTTTGTGTATTCATGAAGCTGTTGGGGTCGAAACTTGTCCAGTCGTGATTGGCTGCTTTTTAACAGTGTGGTCAATGTTATCAACCAAGGACATTATCCACTTCTCCGAGGATGAGGCCTAATGAAGTTAAATAGAATTTTGACAAGATAATGGATTTGTTTTCCTTCCTTGATTCCATTCTCCCCCTCAGTGCTCATGATAAACTGTGTAGAAAAGTAAGAGGGAAACGGATTATGCAAGGCTGCTCACAAGGGGGATGAAAGATCAATAACAAACCCTTTTGAGAAAAAAAAGAAACATCCAGTGAAGACCTCTATAATTTGGGTTTTAGCCACTGGAAGTGAATTCTTCTTAGCTTGAGCACTAGATCTGGCCCGTCCTCAGGAGGTGATCGCTGACCAATAAAAATGTACAGCACAAGCAGAGAGGAAGTAGCTTGTACACATTTACGTGGTGAGGCACAC